TGCATTACAACTGCCTACTGTAATCGGTACAGTAACATGCTGTACAGGTGGGCAGCCTAGAAGCAACAGGCTACTCCTGGTAGTCTAGGACTGTAGGCTGTACCATACAGGTTTAAGTACACAATGATGTTCATACAATGAAAATGCCTAACAATGCATTTCTCAGAAGGTGGCCCCTGTTTATTAAGCTTATGACTGTATTACTAAGGAGCTAAGTCAAAGGTAAAAATAGTCTAGCAGGTAAAAACAAGAAAAGCTCAAACACCAATACTACAGAGAGATCTTTAGCCACAGACATCATTTGCACATCAAGAACCAAACAGAATTGGGGTGAGGTAGGTAGGCTGAGCTAAGGTAGAGCCTCTTCCCACTAGGAGTGTATAGGAGTATTAAAGGATAATTAGAACTTTTTTTCCTAAATGCACAAATATCAGGTGTCAGAAATAAGAGAGAAAAGAGCCAGGCATGGTGGCACACACCTGAAATCCTGGCTACCTGGAAGGCTGAGGCAGAAGGACGGCTTGAGTCCTGGAGTTTAAGGCCAGCCTGGGCAGCACAGTGAGACTTGGTCTCTCAATAAGAGGGAAGCAGGAAGGGGAGAAATAAAAGAAAATATAAAGCCAGGGCTTAAGAGAAAGAGTGGGCTGGGGTAGCTCCAGTGGAAAAAAGGCGAAAACAAGACCAGGTACAAGGGCCAATATCCAGAAGTCACACAGACCCAGGCATGGCCTCAGACCTGTGTGGCACAGGAAGCTGGAACAAGGTCACTGCATCAAGTTGGGCACACAGAAAGGCTGCCCCCTCCAAGCAAAGAAGGCAAGAACAACAACCAGTCCAGAGAAATGGCAACCAATGCTCCCTGTCCATGGCCTGGGGTAGGGAGACAAAGGTCTATAAAGAGAAATCTCATCTCAAGCCTGCTCCACAAGTGGGTGCTAAGAAAAAAGGAACAAAGAAAACACCTGGCAATAGTAAAGATGAATGGACCCAATTCACCATTTGAAAGACAGATTCTCAGATTGAAGAAAAGCAAATTTACATCTAGATGCTCTTCACAAAAGGCACATAAAAAGCTACTCAGAAAGAAATTCAGAAGTAAAAGGATGAAAAAGATGTATCAGGCAAATACTAAAAAAAAAAAAAAAAAAAAAAAAAAAAAAAAAAGGAAAACCTTGACATAAAGTTATCAGACAAAACGAGTTCAGGACAAAAAAAACCCCAAACAACAAACCACTAATTAAAAAAATAGCACTAAACTATGCAAAGCAAAAACTGACAGAATTATAAAGAAAAACTAACAAGTACACACACACACACACACACACACACACACACACACACACACGAAGTATACATACACATATATCCCCCAATTATAAACTCATGTCAAGCAAACAAAAATAATTAGTAAATATATAGAAGACTGGGACATTTCTGACAAACCCTACACTTAACAATTAGAAAATGTACTTTCAAACAAACTTGGCACATTTACAAAACCTGACTAGGCCATAAAGCAAGACTCAACAAATAGCACACACTGTCTTAACCACATTCTCTAACACAATGCAATACAATCAGAAAATACAGTCAGGACAGGATGCAAATTAGAGCAATCTCTGCTTTCTGCCCCATTTCTCTGAACACAGTGGGAGAAGCCTATCCTCCTGCTGACCTAAAATTAATACTGCACATACGTAGAGAGATCAGACACAGAAAAGCCTAAAGATTTATACAGAACATGAAATGATTATTGCATTTAATATCAAAGACAGAACAGCTAACTGAAGGAAAACAAAACCTGCCTGCCTCTTTGAGCCTCCCAGAAGTGACAGAAGGATTAGGGACATAAAGGGCTCCGTCATTCAGAGGACAGGGAGGTCCTGAAACAACCTAAGTATAGTCACGTGTCGCCTAATGAAGGGGTATGTTCTGAGGAATGCATTGTTGTGTGAACACCATAGGGAGCACTTACACTAGATGGTGCAGCCTACTACCCGCCTGGACTATACAGTATAGCCTATTGATCCTAGGCTACAAACCTGCACAGCATGGTACTGAATACTGTAGGCAACTGTAACACAATGGTTAAGTATTTGTTTATCTAAACACAGAGAAGGTACAGTAAAAATATGGTATTACAATCTTACGGGGCCACTGTGGTGTGTGCAGTCCATAGTTGATTGAAATGTCATTATGTAGCATATGACTGTAGTTGATTCTAACTTGTGATGTATTAAAATTCTCACTTTTCTTAGCCTAAGACACTTAAAATATTTCATGGAGTGTTGTTTCCCCAAGACAGCTACCTGGTTATGACGTCTTTATTTTGTTTGTTTAAGAACGGCCAAGGCCTGAAGGCAAACCAGTATGTCATCATACCCTTGGTCCATCACTGGCGGTTTAGATCATCAAGATTCATTACTAGGTACACCTTCCTGTCCAAACATGAATTATGAAAAAGATCTTTACTCCTAGGGGCAGCTGTTTACTGCTGCTGCTAAACTGCAGCATTAAGAGTATTTGATTTATCAAGATAAGAAGACAAAGACCAAGCTTGAACATAATCACTTTTCAAACTGCTTGCAAAGCATTCAAAGTGGGGAAAGACAAGGAGGGGAAAAGTTCCTTTAACTAAAATTAGAAACCTACTGATAATTTAAAGGAAACTCTTTACATTTACTTAAAATATGTTACTTAAGATATTTTATCTCCACTAGAATATAATTTCCCAAACATTATTCAATTAAAATATCTCAGAAACAATATGAAAACTGATTAATCAACTGCCTATAAAAATTTCTCCAAGTAGTTAACATCAGCAAAATACAGCCATCATTCAGTGCCACTCGGATCCTGCTTCATGGTTTTTATGTGTGTCTTTCCTTGTTCAGATCCATTAAATCTTTCTATTACCAGACAACACAGAACATCATATACATAAAATGAAACTCTTATTTCCTTTGTATATCAAGATGAATCTCTACTTTAAATAATATAGTGCAACCCAGCATATGGAATAGGGAGGAAGGGGGATATAATTTCATGAGAAAAGAGAAGGACTCAAACAATGTCACATTTTGAAAGTCTATAATAGAAACAACTACTACTATAAAATATGAGGAGTGTTAAATTTCCTTGTTTCAGTTTTGTCTGAAGTTGTCCAGAATACTTACAGATAATCTTGCAATGGAATTTCAGTATGAAGATCTCTAAGAAAAAGATCCGGATTAAGTTCTTAAGCTAGTAAATGTGCCCCTCTACAGATGAGAAAGTAAATGCATCAAGGGATAAAGGCTGTCCCCCAAGAAATGAAACAGATGACTCCCTCCCATTTGAAAGATAAGGATGTCTCTGGAAAACTCAGGATGCCTAGTTTAAAGTTGTCCAAGACTCATCAGTTTCCAGCACTTAATACTGATGTGGTATTTTGTAACCCTTAACGCAGTGGTCACAGAAGGGACAACCCTTCTATGATGGGAAGGCAGTGAACCCAATTATTCCCATCAAGGTGGGATGCACAAACATCCCGTTCAAATGAAGGTCAGCACAGCAAGCAAACAGGGACCATGAATCAAGCTTCCAGGTCATGAGGGAAGGCAGTGGCATGGAGGCTGTGTGCTCTGCGGGGACAGAGGACCCTCCCCTCAGCATGTCCCTTCTATTCATGGCACCCTCTCTTCATTATCACCTACCTGCAAAGGGGCCCTGCAAGCCTATCACAGAGCGGCTCAGTGAATCCAGAGATTCAGTTTGCTCAACAGACCTAAAAGCAACACTCTCCTTAATTGTAGGCTCCACCAGGAAAAGATTGTACTGTCATATGCACAGAGTTGAAAAGAAAGGTTGCCTAATAGGAAGGACACTGAGTGCTCTGCCATGATTTCAACCAAATTTTTTTTCTTTTTCTTTTTTTTTTTTTTTTGAGATGGAGTCTTGCTCTGAAGCCCAAACTAGAGTGTACAGTGGTGCGATCCTGGCTCACTGCACCTCCACCTCCTGGGTTCAAGCAATCCTCCCAGCTCAGCTCCCTGAGTAGCTAGGATTACAGGTGTGCACCACCAGGCCCGCTAACTTTTTCTGTATATTTAGTAGAGGCAGGGTTTCACCATGTTGGCCAGGCTGGTCTTGAACTCCTGACCTCAAGTGATTCACCCACCTCAGCCTCCCAAAGTGCTGGGATTACAGGCGTGAGCCACCACCTATAACCAAATTGACTACATGTTACTTTTCCCAAGAACCTGCCAAGAGAATTAAATAAATCATCCACTGTTTTTACTCAGCTCCTATCTCAGGCCGCTTTCTTCTAAAGGGGCCAAGGTGCAAGTTAAGCATCTGAAATGAAGAGGCTGGCAAAGTAAACCATACATCCCTGGTTTTCTCAAACTTCATCACACAAAGGAAAAGTCAAGGCTGTAATCCACAATAAGGAGATTCATCTGCAGAAAATAAACTATCAAGAAAAGAATAAAGCAACATCATCTTCAATTAAAGTCAAATTCAACAGTTGTCTCCTATGTCTCCGTTCACCTAACTATGCAGTACTTAGAGCCGTCCATGGTCACCGTGCCAGGGTTAAAGTTGGGCCAGGAGTGGCCGGGCCTGCCTGCAGCCAGCCCATTTTTGCAGCATTTCTCTTGTCAGGCAAGAACCAGAATGACTCTCCAGAAGCTCTGAGTTAAGTACCTCTCCTTTAAAAGCAAATTAAAAGTAGACAGGCCGGGCGCGGTGGCTCAAGCCTGTAATCCCAGCACTTTGGGAGGCCGAGACGGGCGGATCACGAGGTCAGGAAATCGGGACCATCCTGGCTAACATGGTGAAACCCCGTCTCTACTAAAAAAAATGCAAAAAACTAGCCGGGCGAGGTGGCGGGCACCTGTAGTCCCAGCTACTCGGGAGGCTGAGGCAGGAGAATGGCGTAAACCTGGGAGGCGGAGCTTGCAGTGAGCTGAGATCCGGCCACTGCACTCCAGCCTGGGCAACAGAACGAGACGCCGTCTCAAATAAATAAATAAATAAATAAATAAAAATAAAAAATAAAAAGTAGACAGCCCAGAAATCCTCTTCCTAACGGTGTTGGGTCAAACACCCTGGTGAAGAAAGGAAGGCAGAGAGCAACAAACACTCCAGTCTTGCAGCTATATTCTATAAAGTCTTCTTTGTTAAATAAAATGTATAGAAGTCAATGGTTTGGACTGAGCTCCTGTAACTAGGCCCAATAGTCCAAACTGAAATGGAGTCACTCATGTTAAAGTTCCATGTCATCAAGCTGAAACTAATTTCTCTATCTGACCTTGTGGGGAATCCAAATGAGAGTAAATAGTTAAATCTCCAAACAAGCCAGTTTTACCTGACATGATAAATTGAGTTCCCTCTGCTTTAACCTTTACAAGGAAAGTAACTCTGAAATGACCAATCTGCTTTTTGTTTTCTGTTTCTGTTTTCTTCAACCATTCTCTATCTATAAAACCAACCTCCTCTGCCCAGCTCACTGGAACACCCGTTCTATTTTATAAAATGAGTTGTTGTCCCATTCTAGAACTGCAAATAAAGCCAATCATGATTTTTAAACAAAATCTGTCATAATTTTTTTTCTTTTTGATATCATGAAAGCTCAATTAGCAAATGCTGAGTCATTGTTTCTAGGGAAATACAAGATTAGGGTCCTACAAGCTTCTGGTCACATTTTCATCAACCGATCAATATATTATCTTGTTTTATGTGTGTTTCTGTTTAAAGACATCTTAGTGAATATATTGTTGATTCATTAACACTGAACTAATCGCCAACAGCACTATAACTCATGTGTGAACAAAGCTCATCTAACACGTATTTTCTCTGTAAGGCACCTCACAGCCTTCTTGCATTCAGGAACACTGGGTATCCCTCTAATACTACGCTTTGGGGTCATTTTCAACAGCAAAATTACTAATAAAAAGGACAAAAATTCAAAACAAAAAACTGGCACAAAAAGCCTGTGAAAAGGAGCCATGTTTACAGCACAAGAGCAGAAACTGGAAGGCAGAATGTGGTCTCCTTCAGCTTTGGCTGGGAGCACACGTTGGGCAATACAAAATTTTCCCAACCTGCATATCCCTGGGGATGACCACAAAAGCACGTGAAAACTGAATTGTGGGTTACAAAAAATGTGAATATCTGAATTCACAAATACAGAATCTGTGAATAATGAGGACTGACTGTATTTTTAAAACCATGCCCAAACCAGCTGCCCAAACTGAGTGTCAGAATAAATCCATAGCCCTAACAAGTACAACTTCACCTTACAGCAAACTTCTCCTGTGCCTATGGAATCCTCACATTCCTTATGAACCTACTCAAAAGTTAACCTCGGTAACAGAAAGCTGCTCTAGTAACTGCTGAAGTGGGACCCCCGCAAGAGGCTCCAAAGGAGACCCCTGACTGCACTGATAAGAGATTAATTAGAATGGCAATCCAGCTGTAGGAAGTCATGGGAAAGAAAAGGAAAGACAACTAAAAATCATTCTGCCAGCAGCTTTTGTCTCGTTTAAAAGGTACAGACAGGAGAAGACCTGCAAGTCACTTAGAGCAACAAACATGGCCCTACCTGAGGGACATGCTGTCATTTTGCAAGCCAGTCATACATACAAACACCAAGACCTTTACACTCACAGTCTCCATGATGCAGCAATACATCTTTTTTACAAAATTGACTTTGTGATATTTTAATTGTCTGGATTCCTGAATAGAGTGATGTGGGGGGTGGAAAATGAACATTTACCAAGCAGCTAATGCCAGGCACTATGTCGAGAACTTTACCTTCATTACCTCACTGAATTCTCCCCAGCCTGGTAAAATGAATTTTCTCTTCTCCACTTTAACCTCTTGAGCTAAGGACTCAGAGAGGTTACATCAAACACCATTTTATTTTTAAATAAAATAATTTTATTTAAATTTTATTTCCTTCAAGTGGCTAACATAACCCGAGAGATTGTTTGGGTACTTCAACTAGTTGAGTATTCAATTAATTACTTTAAATAATTACTAATGATTACTTTATAAGTATTTCTTATAAACTGGATTCATGAGTTTTCCTCTAGGTACAGATCTTTCCCCGTAAGAAACGAGGGAAAAAAAGTTTTCTCTTTACAGAGACTTCTCTCATCTCTAGTCACAATTCTTTAACTGTTTCATGGAAGACTGGACACAGATCAAGCAGCACTCAGCAGACATCTTCACCCTGACTCCTATAAGAGTGTCACTTCACCCTCGGTGCAAAACTGGCCCTAAGCAAGTGCCTAACCAAGGTCCGTGTGCCAGGCTTCTCCAGCTCTGAACTCTGAAGGCTTCCGCACAACTGCAGGAGAGATACACTGTTGAATCCGAATGCTAAGTCTGTCCACATTACTTAGCATGAATAAGCATTTCAGTAAGTTTTACTTGAAGTTGGAAAGGTGGATTGGTTGCCAGCACGACAGCACCACCTTCTGGTTGGTGAAAAGGAATTAAGACACAAAGTTACATCTGGAGCATTTCAAGTTTTGTAACCCAGATGGGTGGCAAAGTTGAAAATGTAGTTTCCATAAAATCCGAACAATGTCAGTAGCAACTAAACACCCTCACAGATCAGTCACGGAATAGAAAACACTTTAACTATAGGTCACTACTGGCTACTGCTCCACTTCTGGGCACACTGCAGCCACTCCCAGTCTCTCAGCCCTCTGACATTGGAGCCCGCTGCGCCCTATGAAAGAAATTCCTTATCGTGTCATCAGAGTCACATCCATTCCCCTGGTTGTGCAAAAGGTTCCCTGCTGTTTACAAAGTCCAAATGTGATGGTGCAGCAATAAAGTATCAGACAGTGGCCCAACCATATCTCCCACTGGTACTTGTTGGCAGGTAGGGAGTATCGTCCTCTGATGGTTCTAACGAGGACTATCATCCTCTTATGGAGCCCATGAGGACTCGGCATCGCCTTCCTGTTCCGCTCAAGCATGGGACTCCTTGGTAGACTGTGCTGGAGATGGATCTTGGGTGTGAGGTCCAAATGGGGCTTCCTCCTATAGGTGATGCCATCCCTACAGAAATCCAGAAATTCAGACCACAAGACCCCATCATGACAGCTGCAAGTGGCCTCTAAACTCTAAATGATTCCTTAATCTCAGCTTCCAGAAGAGACCCCAGCAGCTGGTTTCCAGGCCTGCCTTCTTCAATGCAGTGGCCCCATCCACTTGTCAAATGGCCCTTGGGTGTCAGACTCTTCCAGATTCTGCTCATCAGGTAAGCTATTCATCCTGCTTCCTCAAGGGGAGCCAAGCAAGGTGGATGGAGAGAGGACTGTGCTTTAATCACGACATCCTTCTCTTGTAGAGCAGCACAGAAGTCTCCTCCAGACCTGTGGAGACCACAGGGTGAAGGAATGAGCATTTCTTCCTGAAGTTTTCCACAGGAATCCCGAGCCCGAGGCTGCTCTAGAGAGAGGCAGCACCTGAGGAGGAAGAACTCTGCCAGTTACCTCTGCTTCCCTCCACCCCACCAACACCTGCCACTGTGCTTTGCACACCTGGAAAAGAATAATTCTTCTTTAAATGAGGACTTTACTCTATGCTTCTCCTGAACTGCCTGAGTTCAAACTTTGTTTACCATAACGCTCAACGAGAAATCTATGTGCATTATAACTCAGTACACACACGTACATCTGTACGTACAGAACTAACCCTGAAAAAAAAGATTACATTAAGAAAAAAAACCTATCTTTATTATATAAGACACACTGACATTTTTTAACTTCTTCCATTTTATTAAAAATGCTGGTCACCACTCACTCAGATGACTTCACAACCCAGTGAGGGAGTGCAACCCTCACTGGGTAAACACTGTCGTAAACTTCCGCCTTCGTTCATCACTCTGTTGGGTGCCTTGCTCCTCTCTCTTCTTGGCTATCCCAGAATTGGCCCCTTCCCAAGGACTGTACCAAGACCTCTCCTCAAAGCCCTCTCCAGCTCTGTGCCAGCACCATCCCAAATGCCAAGGATGGAGAACAATGACTAAGACATAGTCCCCATGCCGAGAAGCCAAGTCTACTGGGTGGGAAACACTGATACTGCCTCTTCTTCTGAAGACAAAAACACTTGTTATCTGTATTCATTCATTCATTCATTCATGCATTCATTCATCCATTCCCCACCTTGACTCACTCCCACATCATTTGTGGAAACAACAGTTTACATTTGTCAAAAGGTAGGCCAGGCACGGTGTCTCATGCCTGTAATCCCAGCACTTTGGGAGGCTGAGGCAGGCTGATCACTTGGAGTTCGAGACCAGCCTGGCCAACAAAGGGAAACCCCGTTTATATAAAAAAATACAAAAATTAGCCAGGAGTGGTGGTTAGTGCCTGTAGTCCTAGTTACTCGGTTAGGCTGAGGCAGGAGAATTGCTAGAATCCAGGAGGCAGAGGTGGCAGGAAGGCACAGGTTGCAGTGAGGCGAGATCACACCACCACACTCTAGCCTAAGTGACAGCACAAGACTCCGTCTCAAAAAAAAAAAAAAAAAAAAAAAGATGCATCCATCTAATAGGGTTTCCTTTTTTTGCAATCTTGTTTGTCAAGGGATAATTTTCATGAACTCTAAATTAAGAACTGAAGTGCACTGTCACTGATTCTTGGAAGCCAATGGCCCATTTATTACCCTATGTAGCATTTATAGATGTGGCAACTTCCCAGATAAATTCAATTTGGCCTCAGCCTCTTAGAAAAGGTTGTGAACTAGAGTACATGCAAAGACTAACCTTCTACACGCTTAAAAATACATAGAAACTGTTTGGGTACATCTATCACTTTCATCTACTTTTGACTTTGTGCTACCATGCCACCCTACACACATGGGAAAGAGTGTACAGAAAGATCCCATTTCTTTTCAAAAAAAAAAAAAAAGGCAGGCGTGGTTGCATGCACCTATACTCCCAGCTACTTGGGAGGCTAAGGCAGGAGGATCGCTTAAGTCCAGGAGTTCGAGGCAGGAGTGAGCTATGATTGTACCGCTGTACTCCAGCTTGACCCTGTCAGAGTGAGATCCTGTCTTAAAAAATAAAATTAAATTAAAATATAAAACTTGCTTTAATCAAGAATAAATACATCCCCCCAACCAACATGAGAGCAAAGTTTATACAAGGGACAAGATTCAAACTCTGATTTTTAACAAATCAAATAAAATCCGTGTTTCCACGTTCTAGCTCCCCCCTGCCCCACAGCTGCTCCACTCCATGTGCCCTCTGTTTCAGTCATGCCAAAGGATGTACTGGTCCCACAATCCACCACAGGTTTCTCAGCCTTCCTCTACTAAGCAACTCCAACTCAGGACGGGAGGGCAAGCACAGCCATCACCATCATCTCCTCCAGAAACCTTCCCCGGTGACCCTCTTCTGCATCTTCCTGCCAGTTTGAGCCAGTTCTCTCTCCCCAGCAACTTCCCTTTATCACAACACTCAGTGGCCACTGATGCACTGGTTGTCTACACGCCTGTCTGCACCACAAGACACTGATTTCTTGAATGGAAAGCCGATTATTTCATCTACCACATCTAAATTCAGTCCCTCAGTCCTTCAATAGTACAAAGGCAAATACTGGCCAAGCATGGTGGATCATGCCTGTAATCTCAGCACTTTAGGAGGCTGAGGCAGGCAAACTGGTTGTGTCCAGGTGTTCAAGACCAGCCTGGGCAACATGGTGAAACCCCATCTCTCCTAAAAATACAAAAAATTAGGCATGGTGGCATGTTCCTGTAGTTCCAGCTACTCAGAAGGCTGAGGTGGGAGGGTAATCTGAGCCCGGGAGGTCAAGGCTGCTGTGACCCAAGATTGCGCCACTGCACTCCAGCCTGGGCAACCGGAGTAAGACCCTGTCTCAAAAAAAAAAAAAAAAAGAAAAAGAAAATACTTAACACAAAGAATAATACTGCAGGTTTCAAATGAAAGCCATTGTTTAAAAAATCTTGCAAACTACCTTCCTAATTATTCTGTTGTTACTACAAAGAACACTAGGCATATAAACATATGGTATCTAAACTACACGAGGATAAATTAGTAAGAAATAAGAGGCTTACTGTCCATCTTAAAATATAATGACAAAAGTGCACACCTAAATGTGCACTTCAATGTGCACTAAAAGCGATTCAAACTTATTTGGGGCATTAATAGACAATTATTTAAATTAGTGATATTCTATAATGAGCTCATTTTCCCCCCTACATAATATGCTACAATCATTTGTTTCTCTTCTCTCTAAATTATCTACATAATATCAAAAAAGGACTTATGGGAAAAATCTCATTTTCAGTTTTTTTTATATGACAGTGTCTTTCTATGTTCCTTTACATAGCAGAGTAGCAGCTGCTCCTTGGCCTCTGACGCAATCTGAAAACAAGTTTCTGTGAAGTTCCCCACATCGCTCCATTTCACATGCAGAAAGGATTAAAGGCATTCCTACTATTAATAGCTGGACTGCACAATATAAAGTTTCGTTCCTAAATTTTTTTTTTTGAGACAGAGTTTCACTCTTGTTGCCCAGGCTGGAGTGCAGTGGTACCATCTCGGCTCACCGCAACCTCCGTCTCCTGGGTTCAAGCGATTCTCCTGCCTCAGCCTCCCGAGTAGGTGGGATTACAGGCGTGCGCCACCACACCTGGCTAATTTTGTATTTTTAGTAGAGACAGGGTTTCTCCATGTTGGTCAGGCTGGTCTCAACCTCCTGATCTCAGGTGATCTGCCCGCCTCGGCCTCCCAAAGTGCTGGGATTACAGGCGTGAGCCATCGCACCCGGGCTAAATAACTATTTTAAGTCATGTTTACTTTTTACAATCTTATCACCTGAAAGTACTCACTAACGTAGATGTTAGTGAGTACTAGATGAGACGTGGGTAAACCCCTGGTCTGAGGTGCTCAGGTCACCACCACTATTAATTTTAAGTTACCTAACACTCCAGTGGTCTAGCATTTGCTAGTGTCGTTGCTAAACAAAATGAAGTGACATTCACTCTGCTATTAAAGTGATATTTGGGCTTCTTTCCAGGATACACAAATTACATCTTTTCTAAGAAAAGACAGGTTGTAAAAATACTCAACAGTGGAAATATTATCAATAAACATCACAAATCAAAAATGTTTAATAGATTCTTTTTCAGAATAGCAGATTTAAACCAAAAAGTTGATGGAAAATTCAGAGAAACTAATGCTATACATTTTATGATTAGAAAAAAAGATGCCATAAAATAATTACAGTCAGCAACAAAAAAAGGGCTACAGTTAGTTCCCCCTTATCTGTGATTTTGCTTTCCAAAGTTTCAGTTTCCTGCAGTAGAGTATGATAAGATATTTTGAGAAAAACAGAGAGGATATATACATAGCTTTTATTAAGAATATTGTTATAAATGTTCTGTTTTATTGTTGGTTATTACTGTTAATCTCTTCCTGTGCCTAATTTATAAATTTAACTTTATCATAGGTATGTACGTATAGGAAAAACTGAGTACATACAGGCTTTCATAACATCTGCAGCTTCAGGCATTTGATTGGAGCCTCGGAATATATCCTCCATGGATGAGGAGGGACTACTGTACTCTGCTAGCCATATTAAGAGTTTTAAAAGCAGATGTTTCTCTTTGCTGTGTTTCTTTACTTATTTAAAAAACAAAAAAGCATGTAATGCTTTTTTAGTCTTAAATTTAAAAATTGTATTACACATTATTCACTATGGAAAAATCAGAAAATAGAAGAAAACATAAGAACATAAAATCCATCTATAGTTCCATCACCCTAAGAGATTTATCAGTAGCATTTTTGTTACAAAATAATATTATATTCTGGATTAGCCATTTATATAACAAAGTCCTCCAAATACATTTCACTTACATTTCAAATTTGCTAATATCAGATTTCATTTTTTAAAACCGTGAAGTTGTAAAGAACAGGAATCATGTATGAGAAAACAATGTCAACATGTAAAGACTAGAACAGCTAATATTAATCAACCGCTTCATTATATCTACTGACAAAAACAACAACAAAACATTAAAAGCCTCAGAAATAAGGATCAGAGAGGCATGTTTCCTTATATTCAGTTTCTTAGTGGCCTAAGAGCAAACTGGCAGATTAATCTCACTGCTTTGCATCTCCTATTATGACCAGAGTCCTAAAATATTTCCAGAGAGTGAATTATGACCGTGGCACTAAATAAGGCACAGTGGTACCTGCTTTCTAAAGTGTGCTGTGCAATCTTGATACTACAGATGTACCGTACACTTAAATACTACACACACTATTGAAAAATAAATATCAAATATGAATCAGCAATTATCTTTATTAATAAAGAGAAGGGTACTAAACAACTTTTTCCTATTC